CTGGGACCTCACTCACGAAAACGTCCTGGGAGTGCAGGCCTTGATGGTGAACTTGCACTTTCTCACTCACTGTGCCATTTGTCCCCATGCAAACCCTGCAGGGCATGTAATTCCCATCCTACAGATGAAGACATCGAGGCCCAGAGAAACAAAGTGACTTGCTCAAAGTCACACACCTAGAAAAGGATGGGGCTTGGGACCCCCCACTCCAGGTGTCCTAGGAGTCAAATGCTGCAGGTGAAAGAAAGGTGGAAAGTGGAATTGTGGGGTCTGGGCAGACCCTGTGTCTGGTGCCCTCGATGACCACAGGGCATGGGCACACCTGTACCTGACTATACACCTGACTCCAACATGCTGCTGTCCAGCTGGGTTGTGGTTTCCGTCCCCTAGTTTGCACTAGAAAACTGTGGCTCAGGGAGGGGAGGCAACTTGCCAGAAGTGCGGGTTGAGCCACCTGTGCTGCCAGGGCCACGCTGAGGCACCACCCTCACTGGGCTGCTTTGCAGAGTTGGAAGTCCACCTGGGTCTGCTGCGGGGGGTGGGCTGTCTGTTCGGGTAGTTCATGAGGACGTGCTCCGTGTCAGGTGTCTCCGCACACTCATTGCTGCTGTCGTCCTCACTCCCCTCCAGGAGCCCTCACTTGAGCCATTTCATGGCAGAGTGAGGCGCAGGCAGGTTAAGTGACGCGCCCAAGAACAAAGAAAGTGATCAGTGAGCACATTGGCTGTCTTACATCAGATTGCTTCCCTCTGCTCTCGGGAGGGGGTCACGTGGGCGTGAGGCCTGCGTGTCCACTTATCCGTGGTGGTGGTGGGGGTTTCCTGCAGTGGTTGACCTTGGGAGCCTTTCCCTCTAGCCCTCAGTGCTAGGGTTTCAGATTCTGTAATAAAGTGTTTCTCTTAAGCTGGTCCCTGTAGTCCCCTCCTTAGAGCCAATTTGTGTGAGGTTGATCCTGAAAAATGCAAACAAAGGATCCAAAGGGTCCTTGGGGACCATCTTGTGTAAAGCCTTGATTTTAGAGGATTCTGACGTCCTGAGGGAGGGCAGCTCTTGCTGAGTCACCCCAATTTCCCTACCTCCTGTCTCGTGTTTCCTTCTGAGGTATTAACCCCGGAGCTCACACTGACAATATACTGACACGTCCTGAGCACACACCACATTGTGCTTGACCTTCACGACGACTCTATAAACTGGACACTGTAGTTATCATCCCTGTTTTATGGATGAGGAAACTGAGGCACAGAGTGGATAACATTGCCTAAGATCACACAGCTGGTCACGGCAGGGCTGAACCTGGACCGCAGGCTGCCAGGTGCAGGAGCCTGAGTTCTGTGACTCCCAAGTCCTGGGCTTCCTGGCTTGCTGACTGGGGACTCTGGGCACAGGTAGGGACAGTGGCTTGCCCACAAAGACGGAGGCTGAGGATGGATACCGTGCTCTCTGAGAGTCACCACACTGTCTGCATAGTCCTCTGTTTCAGACAAGCTGACCATCCTGACGAAGATCATCTCACGGGCGGGCAGGCCTGACGGGTTGGGTGCCTCAACCAGGGCAGCCATTGGCTCTTTAGTCTCCAGGACTTTGGACAGGGAGCTGGAGAGGGCAGGGAGACAGGGGACTAAGGTGGCTCTTGTTCCAGGTGAGGGAGGGATTCTGGAGTCGGGGAGGGGGGCTCCAGCTTCCGCTAATCCGTGGAAGGTCTCCCAGAGCCCTCAGCAGCCTCCGTGGACCAAGCTCCCTGACCACACTGACAGGAGCTCAGTCTATCTGTCCAGACCGATGTGAAAAAGCTTCTTTGTCTTTTTCTTTCTGATCTGAAATCTCCTGATCACCTTGTTAATGGGGTGAAACATTATGAGAAAGGCGAGCTTGAGAGAGCCCTCCCATCCTCCCCAGCAGAGAGGGCAGCCCTGGGTTCTAAGGGTCTGAGTCAGCCTTCTCCTCACATGGTGGACACCAGGCACAGGACTTCAGCTCGGACACAGCTTACTCCTGGAACCTGGGAAGCCTGGACCCTGTGCTGTGGCCCAGAGAAGGAATAGGGTCCCCCTGGATCCACACTTCTGACTTGCATCAGAGGATGTGTGGAAGCCACTTGGGCTCTGGCTGATTCCAGGTGAGAGCGTTACTGGATACATACCCAAGTTCTTTACCTGCCACATAAGAGGGACCAAATAAAACTAGAACGCCGGGCTGATGGCAAGGAAAGAGTTTTTATTTCAGGTGACATCAGCTGGGAGATGAGAGCTCTCAAATTTGTCACGTCTCCCCGAAAGTTGGGAGGCAAGAGGTTTTAAAGGTTGTGAGGAATGTGGCTGCTTGTAGGGAGGGAGAGCCTGTGGCCTTGCTGATCAGCACTTTCCCGCCAGCCTGCTTTTGGCCTTGTGACGCTGCTTGCAGGGAGGAGGATGGCGGATAAGAGAATTGCAGGTGGATGTCCTTCAACTGTCTCTGTCTCTGTAGCGGATGGTGGATTCTGGTGCCAGGAAGCCAAGGAATTGAGGTCTGAGAAGCTTTAACTTCTTGATATCGGTTTCCCTATAACAAACCTCAAGAACTGGTAATTAGCCAAAAACCTCAGTGTGAGCCCAGCTTGAGGCCACCTGGGCTTTTAACAATTAGTAGCTCCTATCTGCCTTGTGAAGTTCAGGGATACAAAACAAACAAACAAACAAACAAACAATAGTTACATATGAATGTAACTTAGAGAAGCAGGGAAAGAGGATGGGTTTTAACCCCATATATTCTGGGTTTAATGTAGGGGCACTGATAGCAGGGCCGGTATCAAGAGGAGTGTCTGGTATTGGCCAAGGCAGAATGTCCCCTTCAGCCAGTCAGGAAGGGACTCTGGGTGTGCTGGATCTGACCCAGAGGACTGCAGGACTGGGCAGGGCTCATGCCACAGTCTAAGGACTCACACTGATATCCACTTCTCTCCCACTGGCCCCTTAGGCACCCCAAAGTCAACAAGGAAGATGAGGGAGCCAGGAGAGCCCTGAGGGGTCTGATGTCTTGCGATGACCCTCCTTTCAACCGCTATAACGGTCCCTGATGCGCAAGCCCTGCTTGACCAAAAGGCCACTGGGGAAATTCCTGGACTGTGCAACCAGGATGCACAGAAGCACATTTCCCCTTCCTTTTCCCAAGGCTGAGTGTGCAACCAGCGGCTTTCATCCCTATTGCGCCTTCTAAGGTGCCCTGGCCAAGCCTCCAAGAAGCATACAGGCTAACTGAAGCCAAGAGCCACACCAGTCCTCTTAGCCTCATAGCCATTAGACTGGAGAGCTGGGATTAGATGTTGCATTTTGGCCTCTGGACCCCTCTATCGCTTTGGCTCCTCATCTCTCCCAGCTGTGCTCTCTCCGCCTCCCAGCACCAGTCACCCCAGCCTGGTGTCTCAACCAGAGCACTGCACAGGGAGTCATTTGAAGTCAAATCAGAGGAGACATTTTGGAGGCCATGCGAGCAAAGAGGAGGAGGTTGCTGTGTCTGGTTGGAGGTCAGGGAAGTCTTCACAGGGTGGAAGGGCATCCCAAGCAGAGGGATCAGGTGCAGAGGTGGGGAAATGAGCAGGAGGCTCAGAGAAGCCTGAGTGGTTGGAGTGTATGTGGCAGCCTGGCGCCTGGGGTGTGCAGGGCTGGGGGTGAGGAAATGGGGAGCACCAAGATCCAGGCCCTGAGGCCAGGCCAGGGCGGTGTGGGTTCCTGAAAGCAGGGGGTGAAATGGCCAAATCGGCGGTTTGAAGGAGCCCCTGGACAATGGTGTGGAGGGTGGACTGTGGTCTGAGGAGAGCCTGGAACCTAGAAAAGGTGGAGTCTGGAGGCTGTGTCCACACTTCAGAGGAGAGAAGATGGTGGTGGAACCAGGGCAGGGGCAATAGGGGAGGTCAGAGGGTGTGTCCCCAGGAGGAAGTAGGAGCAGGCGGGTGCTCCCCAGGCTTTCAGCTCAGGGCTCATGCAGCAGCACCCAGCAAAACAGCAGGCCAGGGGGCCCAGAGAGGAGAAACATGGAGATTCATGGGGGTCTTGAACTCAGAGATACAGACCAGGTGATGTCTGATCATGATACCTGGTGTCCCCAGGGAGATGCGAGGACTGGGAAGAGAAGCAGCCTGGGATGCATCTCTGCAGCCCTCCTTATTAGGAGGAATGTTCTTGGAGGGGATGGAGAAGGAGCCACCAGGGAGGCAGGAGGGAAAGCAGGAGAGTGGCGTCAGGGGAGAATGGGGCAGGGGGCAGTTTCAGGAGGAGAGAGAGTCCCCAGAGCCTGCATAAAGACAAGGCTTGAGAGTGGCCACTGGATCCAGTGAGGGAAGACCAGCCTGTGGTGGCCTTGAGTGTGAGAGAGAGTGAAGAAGTGGGTCCACAAGTGTAGATGACCCTTCCCCAGTTAGGGCTGAGGAGGAACCAGGGCAACAGGCCGTGTCTGGTGGGGGCTGGGGACATTTTAGACTGAGAAACTCAGTGGAGAAGAATCCCTTAGACGGGACAGGTGGAGCTGAGCCCCTGAACTGGCTGAGGGCTGGGTCCAGAGAACAGGATGGTGTGGCCTTGAGGGTCTCCCTTGGGACTGGCTAGGTGGGTGAGGCTCTAGATGATGGGTGGTTACCGTTATTCATTCATCAAACCATAACTGAGTGCCTACTACGTGCTGAGCAGTGTATAGAGGTGGAGATTTAGTGGTGAATCCATTATATTACCGTAATTCCTGAGGAGGCCCTGGGTGGGGAGAGGGGAAGGATATAGGATAGGCACCTGGCTCCCTTCCCCTCCTGGAGGACTCAACCCTCTTAAGCAATCCTGGCTATGACACTCCCCAGTGGGGCCCAGGAGAGGCCAAGACATTGTCAGGGAGATGGAGAAAGCATTTCTTCACTTGCACTAAGGTAGACCTCGCCCACTGTCCAGCAAGCCCCATGAGGCAAGAGCAGGGGCTGAGGGAAACCCAGGCCACATCCTGTAGGGGGCCAGTGATGGGGCAGGTGAGGAAGGCTCCTGGTTGGGCCTTTGCATCAGTCCCAGGCTGGGCATAAAGGAGGGTCCTGCAGGCTGTGAGGAGGCAGACTTGGGGACCATGGAGACCCAGAGGGACAGTCGTTCCCTGGGGCGGTGCTCACTGTGGCTACTGCTGCTGGGCCTGGTGATCCCTGCGGCCACCGCTCAGGCCCTCAGCTACGAGGAGGCCGTGCTCCGTGCTGTGGATGGCCTCAACCAGCGGTCCTCAGACGATAATCTCTACCGTCTCCTGGAGCTGGACCCGCAGCCCAAGGGAGTGAGTCTGAGGCGGGCGGTGGAGAGAGAGGCTCTGCTCTGGTCAGGCCTGGCCACACTGTCACTCCCTTTGCTCATGCTGTCCCTCCGGTCAGGAAGGCACTTCTCCCTTTAAGTGTGGTCCCACATCTCCCAGGAAACCTTCCCAGAGCTGTGTCCCCTCTCAGCATGAGAGCTTCCTGCCTTAGACCTCTCCTGTGGGAAGAGGTGCCCCCTCCACAGCCCCATTCAGGTTCCAGGGACTCCTGGGAGTTCCAGGGACAAAAGTGGGGTCATTGGCTTGGGTTGTGACTTGTCTCCTTTATGTCTCCTCTGCACTCTGTTGTCTCCCTCACAGGGAAGGGCTCTGCTCAGCCTTGAGGTTCCAGTGGCAACGTCTTTTCCTCCAGGAGGCCCCTGATTTCCCTCAGCCCCCTCAGATGGGGAGGTGTTCCTCACCGGAGCTTGTCTGAGGTCCACTCCTGCTCTGTGTGCTTGCTGAGGGCAGGAATGGGCCCTGCCTCCTCCCCTCTGTCCCCAGCACCAAGCCCAGCACCAGGCACACAGTAGGGGCTGTTGAAGGGCTGCACTTTTGGTGGGGGAGGGCAGGGAGACAGATCAGAGAAGGCAAGCATGAGCCTGAGCCAGGTCTCCCCACTTTCTCCCCTGACCAGGACGAGGACCCAGACACCCCAACGCCTGTGAGCTTCACGGTGAAGGAAACTGTGTGCCCCAGGTTGACACCGCAGCCACTGGAGCAGTGTCCCTTCAAGGAGAATGGGGTGAGGTTGGGGGCTGGGGGAAGGGGTTGGTGGCAGATGCCTCCCAAGTTGCTTAACAAGAGGCCTCCAGGAAACATTTCCAGCCACTATGGTGAGGCTGGGAGGTTATGGCACGGTGGTTCCAGTTTGACCTGAAGCTTCCCCTTCACAGCGGGTGAAACAGTGTGTGGGGACAGTTATCCTGGACCCAGGCAAGGAGTACTTTGACATAAGCTGTGATGAGGTGAGTGGCCCATTCTGGTTTGGAGGTGCTGATGTGGGCAGGTGGTGCGTGGAACATCATATGGACCAATTAACCAGTGCCCCATGCAGGGCAGAGAAAGCCCCTCCTACCCTAGGTTCCTCCCTCCACCTGAGCTCAGGTTTCAGGACTGGCACTTCATTTCCTTAGAGTAGTGTTTCTCAAAATATGGTCGTCACCTGGGAGCTTGCCACGAATGCAGATTCTCAGGCCCCACCAGCCCTACTGAATCAGACTCTGGGGTGGGGCCCTGCAATTGTATTTTAACAAGCCCCCCGGGGATTCTGCCTCCTGCTGAAGGTTGAGAGCCACTGATGTAGAGTAATGAGCTTTCAGCCCACGCTCCTGTCCCAGCTCTGCTGGATGCGTGTGTGACCCTGGGAAGCCCCTTGCTGTCTCCAGGCCTCAGTTTCCTCACCTGTTTGTGGGTGTAGTGATTCAACCACATGCTTCTAAGGTCACAACCAGAGGCTGAATTGGGGCCCAAGTCTCCTGGGGTATCCCTGGAAGGGAGGTGTCTGGAGGGGCAAGGTCTTGTCTTGAGTCTGGGTCCAGCCCTTACAAGGATCCTGTTTCCTCCTGGTTCACAGCCCCAGCGTGTCATGAGACGTCGCCGCTTGCGTAGGTGCTTCGGGGGAATTACGGACAAGTTTTGTGACAAGATTGGGAAGATTCGTGACAAGATTGGGAGAATTCATGACGGAATCAGGGATTTTATTCAACATAGAATTGTTCTAGAGTCCTAGGGTTTGCTTTGTCCCGGCTCAGGCTTCTGGACTCTGAAAAATGAATTCTTTTGAAAGCAACTTTATCCAGGCTTCAATTTATTTGTCTTGCCTTCTCCCACTTACCACAACCAACCGAGGCCTTAACCCTGGGATGCCTGTGTGTGTGTGTGTGTGTGTGTGTATGTGTTAGTGCGTGTTCACAAAACACAGAGATGGCTGGAGGCAGCTGTTCCATCAGGGGGGAATGGGGTGAGGCAGCAGGGCCAAGAGTCCAGGACAGCATCTCCATTCTTAGCGTCCCTCTCCATGCCCTTCACACACCTCCTGCCCTCCACTTGAACACCCAGTGGGACCTGAGATCCACTGTGTGTGCGGAGGTGGTGGGGATGCTGCAGAGCTGGTCCTGCTCGTATAGGTGACAGTCAAGGATCTGGCCAGGCATTTTTTTTGAGGAAGATTAGTTCTGAGCTAACATTTGTCACCAATCCTCCCATTTTTGCTGAGGAAGATTCGCCCTGGGCTAACATCCATGCCCATCTTCCTCTACTTTATATGGGACGCCGCCACAGCATGCTTGGCAAGCGGTTTGTATGTCCGCCCCCGGGATCCAAACCTGCAAACCCCAGGCCACCAAAGCAGAGTGCTCGAACTTAACTGCTATGCCACCTGGCTGGCCCCGGGCCAGGGATTTTTGTTAAACTCACAGAGATGCCGTGCAGTCTCCTGGCTGACTGGGTTCTAAGGTCAGTCTGCTGGTACAATGCCCATAAAGTTCCAATTCCCCTTGAAAATCTTAACTCTGGAAAAGTCCACTACTCCTGGCTTTTCCTCTGGCATTGAGACACATTACTGTTTCTTTGGCTGAGTAGCAGATTTAAGTTTAGGAATCAAATGGTACACAAATTTTGTACCATTAAAAACAAGAATCCCGCTCAGTGGTGTGGGGAGCTCTGGTAAGGAGAGACACGCAGAGTGACACACAGGTCACATCTCTGCTGCACTGGGTGTCTCAGACACTGTCCATGTCCTGCCCACTCACCAGGTGTAGCTGACTAGAAGCCCCTGTGGCTCTTTGCTATGGGACAGACTGGAAGTCTGAGAGTTTGTACTCTAAGGAGCAGCCTCAACCAACGAGGTGGGAGCTGGGTTCCCTTCCTCATGCCTTTGGTAGACCCACTCCAAGGTGTGTTACACATCTCCTGGAGGGCCCCAGCTGGCTTGTGCCACTGTTGCCCACAGCAACGACCTGTTCGTGAACACAGCCTCTTCTGACCTCTGTTCCTGCCCTGTCGCATGTCTCTGTGCTCCTGCTGGTGCTTTCTGTAGTCGTCTCCCGACTAAACTGCTTACACTTGAATCCTTGTCTTGGGGCTGCTTCTGGCTCAACCTAAACTAAGACACAGACACTCCTCTCTGAGACAGACAGAGGGCAGGATCTTACATCCTATTTACATTGTTGTCTATCATGCTCGCTTCTTCTTGGTGAGCAGGTGCAGCTGATCTCAGGCAGCTTAGAGGAACCCAAGATGCTTCTCACTCTATGTCATCACAACCCAGGAGGCTGTGTTGTGTCAGTGCCAGAGGATACCTGCTTCCCAGAGCCAACTGTTAAGTTTTTGGGATCTTTTTTTTTATTGTGGCAACATTGGTTTATAAGATTATGTAAATTTCAGGTGTACATCATTATATTTTGATTTCTGTGTAGATTACATCATGTTCACCACCCAAAGACTAATTACAATCCATCACCATATACATGAGCTTAATTACCCTTCTGACCCTCCTCCCTTCCCTCTTCCCCTCTGGTAACCCACAAATCCTATCTCTTTCTCTATGTGTTTGTTTGTTTTTGTTTTTATCTTCTATTTATGAGTGAGATCATATGGTATTTGACTTTCTCCCTCTGACTTATTTCGCTTAGCATAATACCCTCAAGGTCCATCCATGTTGTCACAAATGGCCAGATTTCATCGTTTCTTATGGCTGAATAGTATTCCACTGTGTATATATACCTTACATTCTTTATCCATTCGTCCCTTGATGGGCACCTAGGTTGCTTCCAAGTCTTGGTTATTGTGAATAGTGCTGCAATGAACATAGGGGTGCATATATCTTTACACATTCTTGTTTTCATGTTCTTTGGAGAAATACCCAGCAGTGGAATAGCTGGATCATATGGTAGTTCTATTCTCAATTTTTTGAGGAATCTCCGTACTGTTTTCCACAGTGGCTGCACCAGTTTGCACTCCCACCAGCAGTGTATGAGACTTCCCTTCTCTCCACATCCTCTCCAACACTTGTTGTTTCCTATCTTGTTAATTTTAGCCATTCTGACAAGCGTGAGTTGATATCTCATTGTACTTTTGATTTGCATTTCCCTGATAATTAGTGATGTTGAACATCTTTTCATGTGCCTGTTGGCCATCTGTATATCTTCTTTGGAGAAATGTCTGTTCAGATCTTTTGTCCATTTTTTAATTGGGTTGTTAGTTTTTTATTCTTGAGATGTATGTGTTCTTTATATATTTTTGAGATTAACCCCTTATCAGATATATGGCTTGCAAATATCTTCTCCCAATTGTTAGGTTGTCTTTTAGTTTTGTTGGTGGTTTCCTTTGCTGTGCAGAAGCTTTTTAGTTTGATGTAGTCCCATTTGTTTGTTTTTTCTATTGTTTCCCTTGCCCGGTCAGGCATGGTACTTGAAAAGATGCTGCTAAGACTGATGTCGAAGAGCGTACTGCCTATGTTTTCTTCCAGAAGTTTCGTGGTTTCAGGTCTTACATTCATTCAGTCTTTAATTCACTTTGAGTTAATTTTTGTGTATGGTATGAGATAATGGTCTACTTTCATTCTTTTGCATGTGGCTGTCCAGTTTGCCCAACACCAGTTATGGAAGAGACTTCCCTTTCTCCATTGTATATTCTTGGCTCCCTTGTTGAAAATTAGCTGTCCGTAGATGTGTGGGTTTATTTCTGGGCTCTTGATTCTATTCCATTGATCTGTGGTCTATTTTTGTGCCACTACCATGCTGTTTTGATTACTATAGCTTTGTAGTATATTTTGAAATCAGGGAGTGTCATACCCCCAGCTTTGCTCTTTTTTCTCAGGATTCCTTTGGCTATTTGGGGTCTTTTGTTTTTCCATATAAATTTTAGGATTCTTTGTTCTATTTCTGTGAAAAAGTCATTAGAGCTTTGATAGGGATTGCACTGAACCTGTAGATTGCTTTAGGAAGTTTGGACATTTTACTTATGTTATTCTTCCAATACAAGAGCATGGAATATCTTTCCATTTCTTTGTGTCTTCTTCAATTTCTTTCAGCAATGTTTTATAGTTTTCAGTGTACAGGTCTTTCACCTCTTTGGTTAAATTTATTACTAGGTATTTTATTCTTTTTTTTTTTGCTATTATAAGTGGGATTGTATTCTTAATTTCTCTTTCTACTACTTGGTTGTTAGTGTATAGAAACACAACTGATTTTTGTATGTTGATTTTGTATCCTGCAACTTGACCGTATTCATTTATTATTTCTAAAAGTTTTTTGGTGGATTCTTTAGGGTTTTCTATATATAAAATCACGTCATCTGCAAATAGTGACAGTTTTACTTCTTCCTTTCCAATTTGGATCCCTTTTATTTCTTTTTCTTGCCTCATTGCTCTCACTAGGACTTCCAATACTATATTAAATAACAGTTGTGAGAGTGGGCATCCTTTTCTGGTTCCTGTTCTTAGAGGGATAACTTTCAGGTTTTCTCTACTGAGAATGATATTACCTGTGGATTTGTCATATATGGCCTCTATGACGTTGATGTTGTTTCCTTCTACACCCATTTTAATCAGAGTTTTTATCATAAATGGATGCTGTATCTTGTCAAATGCTTTCTCTGCATCTATTGAGATGATCATGTGATTTTTATTCTTCATTTTGTTAATGTGGTGTAACACATTGATTGATTTGTGGATATTGAACCATCCCTGCATCCTTGGAATAAATCTCACTCGATCATGGTGTATGATCTTTTTAATGTATTGTTGTATTCAATTCGCTAGTATTTTGTTGAGGATTTTTGCATCTATGTTCATCAGTGATATTGGCCTGTAATTTTCTTTTTTTGTGTTGTCCTTGTCTGGTTTTGGTATCAGGGTAATGTTGGCTTCATAGAATGAGTTAGGAAGCTTCTCTTGCTCTTCAATTTTTTGGAAGAGTTTGAGAAGGATAGGTATTAAATCTTTGAATGTTTGGTAGAATTCACCAGGAGAGCCCTTTGGTCCTGGACTTTTATTTTTTGGGAGATGTTGATTACTATTTTGATCTCCTTACTAGCGATTGGTCTATTCAAATTCTCTATTTCTTCTTGATTCAGTTTTGGAAGGTTGTATGATTCTGAGAATT